AGGCTTCCGTGTTTCTAGATCCATATAGTCCATTGTTAAGCAAAGATAATATCTTTATTCACTTATGATTGAAATAAAAAGGTAGCATTAGAAATTCAATATGTCAGAAATCAAGTTGCAGAGGAATAAATCAAAAGATAAAATCCAAAATTTCATCCAAATGGGTATGTAAAGATCTGACAAAATGGAGGAGAATTAAAAAGAAGTTTCATAGTAATACATGTCGATGATTTGCATATTCTGCTACTTTGTTGCTAGAATTTGATTTATAGATGACCTAAGTCACAATAAGGAAACTTTTTGTAATTAGGGTAAAAATTCCATAGAGATTTGAACCGAATGAAGCGCAAGAACAAATTTCATAAAAAGTCATCAACCTACGAAGGAAAGAAGCGAATCTCGTGTGAACGAAAGAAAGGATGAATTGCACAAAGATTACAATTTTTTAGGATTAAGGAAACCTACCGCATTCTTGGTACCGATCGCTGGAATTCTGTGAAACTCCACATAGAAGGAAAGAGACTCGCCTGCGAAAGAAAGTGTCAATTGAAGATTATCCCGATCAATCTTGCGAAGGAAGTGCCAATCGAAGATAATCTTGCAAAGGAGATCTGTGAAAAAATCTCGTATGGAGACCTGCGAAGGAAGTGCAAATCGTGCAAATGAGAGGCGCCCAAATCCTGTTCTCATATCCAACTCGTTTGATTGACATGGCTGATTAGGTGTCAAAAAATTGTTCCAGTCAACACGCCAAATGTCTCAATTCTGAGAGTTCAACTCTCAAATATAATATATAAAGGATTAATTTAGAAAAAATGTCAAGTTATGAATGGAGGGACTATATTTTTAAAATTTAACCATATTACCGTTTGTTCTGACTCAGTTTGGGTCTTAAAAGTGGGAGTACTGCGCCGGTGCAATGTCCAACGGACCGAATATTAGCCTGAAGAGGCAAAGTGATGATGACACGCAAAACCTCTCCCTGCAAAAAATTTAACATTTCTCTGCTCTATCTTTTGTTCGAACTTTGAACATTGAGAGAAGAGTTTTAATTTTTGGGAGAAATCAAAAAAATGTCGAGACGAAGTGCTAGGCCAAGAAGCACAAGAGCTCAAGGGGGAAATAAGTCCAAGGACAGTGATGCTGGCGCTGTAAAGGATCTGTTGAAGGAAGACACCATTTCTGGGTTTCCCCAAAAATCCTCTTCTCCACCTCCGGTAATTAAACAGCACTCTCTTTTACCTTTCTGCCTGCAAACAAAAGTGAAATATGTTGGTTAAACCAAGTTATTTTAGGGTTCATGAAAAATTTCAACAGACATTCACTCCCATTTTAAGTTATTTTCTCTAAATTTTAGTTGAAACGAATGAACTCTTGAGCGGGTATTTCTAGGATATAATGTTTATCGTTGTTTCCATGGGAAAAACCAGCTCGAATAAAAAAATTTAAGAAAATCTAGCTCAAATTAGGTGTTTGCCCAACTACCTTTGAGAGGGCTTCTGACTATAACAATTTCTAAAGTCGGTATTCCTCAAAAATCCTCAAATTTACATTTTCAGGTAATTTAGAATTACGTTTTCTAGTAACTAATAATTTATGATTACATTTTCTAGTAATTAATTATTAGCGTCCATTGGCAATGGAGCTAAAAGAGTCATTATTGAATGTTTTAGTTTCGGGCACATAACAGACTAAATCAAAATGAAAATTAAACGTCTCTTGATTTTTACTCTTTGCAATGTTTTGGGTAGTAAATGCAAAACAATGCATAAAAGCGATGCAATTAGTATAAGGTGTTTTAACCATCCATTTTGGGGGCTTATTAAGAGCTTCTCTTTCAGTTTCTTTGTGCATATGATTCTGTGTATAACCATAGACTGGAAGCAGATAGCTCAGCCCCTATTGTAAGTTCTTCTGAGCATTTTAAGTAATCAGCTTGAACGGCAGGTGGAATTTGATTGTGTCCTTTCCCAATGGAGCTAAAAGAGCCATTGTTGACTATGTCTATGGATTAAATAAAAATGACAAATTAAACTTCCCTTCTTACTCTCTTAGAAGTTTTGGGCAGTAAATGGAGTTGAGAGTGTACTGGGTTTCCGATGAGCTTCACAATTCCAAGTATTTTGTGCTTAACGCTTTCTTCATTCATATTCCTTAAAACTGATGATTCTTTATGCTAATTCAGCTCCCACGAGGCCCATATCAAGAAATATCTTTACTTGATGTCTTATTTATAATTCCAGCATTTGCCCCACATGTGCATACATAGTTTTAACACATTTCCCATCATCTGTTTACAATTATTCGTAGGACCTCGCACAACTGATTACTCGAACTATTACCCATAAGTATGAAACTCGACGGACAAAGGAATTTTTATCCAAATCCAGTGTTGCAAGTAGGGCCTTGGTATCTTCACGTTCTAGCTTGGAGCAACCTCAACGTACTCCCTTGAGGTCTGCATGTTCTCTTTTGAAGAGGGCCCAGGCCACTGGAATCTCAGGTTCTGCATTGGAATATCAGGTACTGCATTGTTTTTTCCTTGTGAATGTCTCGAAACATTCGTTGAATCTGGACAGTATTAGTGGTGTGTTCATATAATATGTTCCTCAGATCGATATGAGTTTTTCCTTTTCCATGCCCAGGCCATAAAAGTGATCAATGCCTCCAGCAAGCCTAATGGATCTGTCATTGCATCTGATGTGAATCATCCCGTAAGTGGCATTGCCAATGAACCAGAAAACAAAAGTGACCAGATTCCTACTCCTGCTGCTGCTGCTGCCGTTCATCCAACAAAATCTGATAATTTCCCCCTCACTGAGATACTGCTTGCAGGGTCTGATGACGATGAGGATGTAACCTCAACCCAAAGTTCTTTGCTAGAGATTGTTAGTGGGTACAAGTTGAGCTCGAGAATGGTACCTTTTGTCAAGCAAATCTTTGCGAAATATGGTGATATCGTGAAAGATAGCATATTCAAATCAGTCGAATACCGCTCTTCTGTACTAGAGACTATATGCAGCATTTGTATCAGGTTGAAGTCAGTGAAGTTCCAGGACATCACTTGTCAAGAACTCCAATCCATGCTCAACGTAGTGAACGATCTTGAACCTGTCAAGGTAGAAATCGGATGGCTCCAAAGCAGGTTGAAGGAACTCTGTGAAGCAAAAAGCCTCAAGAGGGGGTTTCCCGGCTTGCTAATTATAAAAACGAAGACCCTCCAAGAGATTGAAGGAATGAAGAAAGCAATGGAGGACGCCAGGCAGGAATACGAAGTGTGCCTGGCTAAATGCCAACTCTCGCAAGAGAGGCTCAAGAAGCTTGAAGATGCGGTAGCCACTGCACAAGTTGAGGTAGAGAAAATCGATGCAAGTTACTCAGACACTAAGACCAAACTGAGATGCTTCTACACCGGTTCTCTGCTGCAGGATGTTCTTTAATCTTTTCCGGCCCACTGCTAACTTCAATATCGTTCTCTTTAGAGACGCTCGTATGTCTAGTTTGGTCGTACGTTAGTTTATTTACTAAGAAGTAGATGCTATATGACCCCTCTCTTTTATGGATATATCGATTAACTTATGATTTGCTAGACCCCCATTTTGTTGGTTTATTCACAATGGAGCATCAGGGTGCAGCCATCTTGTGATGTGGTTTTTCTTATGAATCTTATATCAGTAGCGTGATCTTCAGTTAGTGAACATATATGCCCATATATATCAGACATCTTGGCCTCATTGTTCTTGGAAAGGGACCATCAACGAACTTAAAAGGCAATAAAAAGGACCTCTTGGGACAATTGGACGAAAGAAGATAAATGGGGTATTCGGAACGGGAGCGTCATTCCACCAACAAACTTAAAGTGCAATAAGAAGACCCTATGGGACGATTCGACGAAAGGAGAAGGTATATGGGTTAGTTATTAATGGGAATTGGATACAACCCTTTCTTTGAAGACATGTTCATTCTTAAATGATACGGAGTATAAACCTTGGAGATTTATTTTGAAGAGAAATTTATTAAAATAGTACTAAAACATATTGACTTTCCCAATGTAATACTATATGTTTTTATTTCTCAACGTAGTACCAATGTTCAATGTCCATTGGTCATTGTTCGAGTAAATATCCAGCGTCATTGGAAATTGTTAAAACTAAATGTCCACCATTACTAGACATTGTTCCTGCTACTAGACATTATTTAAGTATTATTTAGAAAATAAACAAATTTAAGTATTAAATAAGGAAATAACATATGTTTTAGTACTATTTAGTGCAAATTTCACTATTTTGAATTCAATTTTTGGTATAGAAATGATTTACATCAATACTTAGAAATATTAGCCATTTTACATGAATGCTACCAAAACACAAAATTAATGCTCCCGTCTAAAAATGATCTTCCCATTTAAGTATTCACAGTCTCCAATTTAACATTTTGACCATTAGTATCTACATTTATTTATGGATATCTTTTATCAATATTTAATATTTCATAACTATGTTTCATAAGGAAATTGTTAAAATATAAAAATATTTCTTGGGTCACAACCACAAGCTCATTGAATCGGTTTTTTGATAGAAAATTTTATATTATATTTATATCGAAACACAATGTATTTTTTCCTTAGATCGAGGCCAAAGTTTACAAAACCAACAAAAGTCAAATGAAAAATGATTTCGAGACCGAGGGATATAATTACTATGAATTAAAATCCCATGTCACGCAAATACTCCCATCGTTAATAGAGTTGAAACCTCACCAAATTAGTTCACTCTTTTGTCTCTTTTTCTTTTTCGTTTTTTAAATTATAGAACAAATATTTGTTCTATGAGTAAATCTTTAGTTTTGAGTTTTTTGTGTTATTCATTCTCGAACTATTTCTAAAGTGCATGTTCCCACACTAGTGCAAAAACTAGTTGAAAGATATATCGTACAACTCCCAAGACTACTATACAAAATACCATGAGACAACTTTTATGTGTGTTGTAGTATAAAAATGTAGATTACTAATGCCGTATACTTCTTTCGTCTAAAAATTATCTTCTCGTTGTGTATTACGATGTTGGACTAAAATTATTTTAAAATTATTTTATATGAAAAATGATATAAAATTTAAAAATAAAAATTATATATTTAAAAACTAAATCAAAAGATCTACAAAACAAGAGGAGACATAACTATATTATTTTACCAAATATGCGATGAAAATAGGCCAACAAAGTGAATAAGATTGACTTGTGAATAGTGAGCGGGAAGATAACTTTTTGGACGTAGCGTATTTAACCACCGTTTCTTTTAATTGTATAGTGATTTTTTAACAGACTGTTGTGAACTATAGTCGGTTAGTTTATTAGGTAGCTGCTCCAAAGAAAACAAAAAATATTTGCAATAGACAACTATTATTTTGTGTTACTCCCTCCGGTCCAAAAAACATGGGGTGCTTTGATTCTGAAAAGATTTGAAGAGAATGTATATTTTGGTATTGAATTTTCAAAAATATCCTTTGATGTGATGGGTAAAAGTAGATTTAATTGATAGGTTATTAGTAAAAAGGTATGATGTGATACGTAGGTTATGAAAAAGTAAAGGGTAAAAGTGATTTTTTAATAGAAATTAAATAAAAAATGTTTTTTGGGACAGATGAAAAAAGAAACATCCCGTGTTTTTAGGACAAGATGAAGTATATATCTAGATTGTAGGCTACTAATATTGTTGTATTTCGAACAAATGTCTAGGAACTCAATCTAGGAATCAAACTAAATTCCCAAAATATGCAGCACCATTAGTATGAGCACCAAATGGTGCTGCCAATTAAAACGAATTATAAAGAGTACACTGATGATGAACCAACTACATACCAACAACACTAAAAAACAGCAAAAAATTGCTGCTGGGTAGCCTCAATTTTGTAATAAGAACTCGTAGGTCCCATTATTTTTCAATTTCTTTCTTTCTTTCTTTCTTTCTTCTTCTTCTTCTTCTTCTCTTCCTTCGCCTTCCAGTGTGATCCTCCATTCTTCCCAAGAAGAAGAAGAAAAGAAGAAGAAGAAGAAGAAGAAGAAGAAGAAGAAGAAGAACAAGAACAAGAACAAGAAGAAGAAGAAGAAGAAAAAGAAGAAGAAGAAGAAGATAATGGCGGAGAAGGGTTGTTAACGGAGAGAGTGACAGATTGTCACCCTGGAGTCACTTTTTGAATATCTTAAGGCACCTCGGAGTATATTTTGAAAAATAATGGGACATGCGAGTTCTTATTACAAAATTGGGGGTACCCTGTAGCAATTTTTTGAAAAAACAGACCAATTAATAATGAATTAAACTATGCGTACTTCAAAAATTGTATCCCACTTTGTATCCCGAAAGCATGCATCAACATTTTATGATAGCGTGATGGTTTACAATGACACAAAATGTCAGTGCAATTTTTTTGGTTGAACTGACATTTTGTGCAAGTGTGAGCTGCTAAAATGCTGGTGTTTCTCTTTAGAGTACAATTTTGGATACACTTCATGGTGTACCCCTAGCATGGTTGATAAATAATACTCAGACTACTATTTACGAACAATATAATAGTTCACTACGCCAAAAACAACATCAGATGACTTTTGATTAACTACTGTTTATGGAAACACAGTAGTTAAAAAAAGACTACAGTGAGTTTTTTTGGCTGCAGAACAATAGTCTAGCTATGATGATTTAAAACTATTTTTAAAGTTTTGAGAAACAGTAATCTATCATTAGTTGTCTGTGTCAGTTCAAAATACAATTTTTGTTACAATAGTTGTCAATAACAAGTTAAGAATACTCTATTTAAACAGTAGTCTAGTTTTTTAGTCTAGAATTATTTTTAAACTTATTAGAAATAGTTATCTTTATCTAGTTGTCTGTTTCATATGTTTTTTTGCCATAGTAGTTTATAATAGGAATAGAAGACTCTATTGTAACAGTAGTCTATTAATTAAGGGTAGAACTGTTTTTAAAATTGTGAGAAATCAAAATATATTAGTAGTCCATTTCATCTAAAAATACAGTTATTGTTGCCACAGTTGTCAATAAGTAGTTAAGACTACTATTTCCAAACAGTAGTCTGGGTTTTAAGTTTATACCTATTTTTATACTTATAAGAAATAGTAATCTATTGTTAGTTGTTGTATGTTTCATATGATTTTTTTTGCACAGTTGTTTATTATAAGAATAGAAGACTCCCTTGTAATAGTAGTATATTTATATAGTGTATAATTGTTTTTAAAATTCATAAAAACCGTTATATATTACAAGTTGTCTATAATAAAATAAGAATACCCTTTTTAAACAGTAGTTAGACTATTAAGCCTAGAACTATTTTCAAAGTTTTGAGAAACTGTAGTTGATTATTAGTAGTGTGTGTCACACCATTTTTTTTCACGGTTATCTATAGTAAGTAAAGAATTTAGTTTTAAACAGTAGTCTAGCTCCTAGTTTTAAACTGTAGTTGATTATTAGTAGTGTGTGTATTAAGCCTAGAACTATTTTAAAAGTTAAGAATACTTGTTTTAAATAGTAGTCTAGCTCCTAAGCCACTACAAGAAAATTTCTGATCTGCAACGGAAAAAATTCGTGGCAGAGTTTAAAATTCCGTGGCAGATTTCTAATCTGCGACGGATCTGCTACGAAGTTCTTCCGTCGCAGAAAAGTTGTGGCAGATTAAATATCTGCGACGGACTTTACATTCCGTGGCAGATCTGCGACGGACCTGCAACGGGTTTTTAATTTTTTCCATCAAACAAAATTTGCGACGGAAATATTAAACCGTCGCAGATCTGCGACGGGCTCAGCAACGGAACCTTCCGTCGCAGAGCAGCGACATAGATAGCAGCGGCCCTTTCCGTCGCAGATGACCTGTTCACAGAACCAGCATTTCCCTTTTTTGGCACTAGCTATTAAAATGGGGAGGTGTGGGGGGCAAAACACAATCAATTTTCACACACATAATTCCAAACAAGATTTCAACACCCAAATTGATAATTCAAATCTAGATTAATGCAAACTTCAAATGCAAATGTAACATAATTCATTATGTTCTAACAATAAATACTAAAATGTTAGTGTCAAGTGTTTAAAATGGAGGAAGCTAAGGTCGTAAATGTCTCAACAAATCCCGGGCTGCCCTGCCCCTCCCGTTCCATCATCGCCTCGTCGAGGAAGGTTACCACCATATAGCTTCCTCATCTCCTCCTGAATCGTTAGCGACAAGTTCGAGGTTAGACTATCAATTTGTTCCTGCAGCCTTTGGTTTTGCTCTTTGAGTG